TGTAGAACGTAGTTGGAGAAGGTGAGAGCGATGACAGCCTGGTTGGTGGGGTAGATCACCAGAACAGCAATCCATAGCCTCAGGAACCTGAAGGGGGAACAGGATGGAACTTGACCCAAGACAGCAATGGAGACAGAGCCTTGCCCCCACCAAAGGCATGGCAGGGATTCAGAAGTCATCAGGGGAAGCCTGGGCAAGTCACTGGGCAGGATCAGGAGAGGCAGGTGGGCTAAAGAGATGAGTTTTCTTTTGGTTTTCAAGAAGCTGAGGAGCCCAGTTCCTCCTCAAACGAGACACTTAGCAATGGTAATAAAATGGTTTAATGATGAAGAGCTGTTTCAACTAGTTCTAACACACGTCTAGGTGTTCTTTTTTTCACTCTCCCCTCTCCTTTAATCATCTCTTCTCTATCACTCCGGCCTCCAGCATCCAGTGGTGAAAAATAAAATTTGCAACTCCAGAATTTTGACAGCCAGGACATGCTGGGAGTGTGGCCACTTAAGTAACTGCCAGGGGAAGCACTGAGCGGGCGTTGTGGGGACAGTGCCCTCCACACTCATGGACCCCTTGGTGATGGTCGAGCTCTTCAGCAGTAGGGCTACAGGAGCCAAGAAATTCAAGATCAAGGCCTGGCTCTAGAGGGAGGCCATTATTCTTGGTAATGTGAAAAGACGCTACTTCGTCTCTTAGGTTGTCACTCTGATTTGTCAAGAAAAAGGGGCTTCGTTTTGTGCTATGCTCTCCCTAAGAGTCTTTGGTCAAAGTTGTCACATACTTCTATTTGCTCTTACTCATAGGATCTTGCCCTGTAAGATCAATAGAGATTAAAACTACAACTTGGTTTCTCTGCCACTCTCAGGAGCATCGGAGGGGACACAAGTCGATATTAGCAACCATGACACAGAGGCAAAAAGGGCATCCCATTCTCTAGCTCTTCTCGGTATATTGGAAACCCCCTGGCCTTGGCTTCCTAGACCACTCAGGCCTTCGCAGAGCCTCTTACCCGGCCAGTCCTCCAAATATGTCCTTGACGTAGGAGTAGTCACCTCCAGATTTGGGGATGGTGACCCCGAGCTCAGCATAGCACAGGGCTCCCACAGCTGTGATGAGACCCGTCACGATCCAGACAATAAGAGCGAGGCCCACGGATCCGGCGTTCTCCAGCACGCCCTTTGGTGAGACGAAGATTCCAGAGCCGATGATGTTCCCTGCACGAGGCACCAAAGATACAGGGGAGATAGTGGCATCAGCATAGTTGGCAGTACCCGCATTTTCAGGGGCAGTCTCATCTTCAATCTGATTTTAAAATACCTTTGGGTTGCATGAATCACCTTCAGGCAGGTGTATCTAGCAATAATTCCCCTTAGAAGGAAGGAGGAGCATACCACAGGCCCATAGAGATCAGAGATATGGACAGGTACTCTACGTGTCTCCTTTAATACTCAGGATAAACCAGTGGAGTCAGATATCATCTCTCCCATTTTACAGAGAGAAAACTGAGTCTCAGACATATCAAGTGCCTTGCCCAAGTCCACACAGTAACAAGTGCTGGTGCAAGTCTTGAAACTCAGGACCCTCTGACTGGGCTGCACATGGTCTACCCAAGGTGACAAGGGTCTTAAGACTGGCTTAAAATGGTAGGGCTGAAAAACTGGACTGTTCTCAGAGACCTGCTGCCAGTTAGAAAGCTTCCAAAGTGAGCCGAAGGGACAGACTGTGGTCATACCCCATGACCGGGGTTTTTGAGACCCATGAGTGTAGACAGCACTCCTGGAGGCTGGCCTCCACCCCAGATGCGACAGCCCTACCCTTGGTGAGAATTATGAAATAACCCCTTAAAAACAGTCCTAGTCATTTGGAAGTGGTTTATGGGAGTGCAATCTTACAAAGCCTCGGTACTGTATTCCTCCAAAGGTCGTTCCCTTCCACTGTTTCATGTGACCCTCACAACAATCTTATGAAATTCAAGAAGAGGAGAAAGGGCAGGTATTTCTCTATTTTACAAACTAAGAACCTAAGACATAGAGGGGTTAAGTGGCTTATTCCAAATTCCACAACTACTAATGGGTAAAATTGGATCTAAAAGTCAGTCTCCTGATACTTAATCCAGAGCTCTTGCCACTAATCCCACTTCTGCTTCTGTATGCAAGAGGCTGGGTTTCTCCTGAGAGGTGAGGCCGGCAGCGAGGACTGAATGGTTGGCTACTGGGGTGTGTGTATTGGACAGGGGAGGAGTAGGTGTGTGGGGGCAGCTCCTGACATGCTTCTTCCCAAGCTTTACATCCTTCTTATGCTTCAAGACGGTGATCAGGGTCCAGTGGACAGGTGCTCTGAAAGCTCTTCCAGCCCCACCAAGTTGCACCACTAAAGGCCCAAAGCGGGGGAGCAGAAGTCAGATGGATCTGGGTAGAAATGCAGCTCTAGATGGAGTCTTACGAGGTCAATTGGATTTGACAGTGTTCTGAGAACATCTCAGACTCCCACCATATCTCTTTAGTGGTTTAGAACTAGTGCTGGACTGAACGAAATAGAGTATAGGATTTTATGCTCAGCTTTCAAAAACAGACTTTTAGATCTCAGCCATAACTCAACCTCAATCCAGTCCTGAAAGTCACCAAACCAAAATTCAATTTTTAATCCCAGGCCAAGCATTCAGTTGTTTCAAAGAGGAAGAGAAGAGAATATTTATATTCCAAAAGCAATAAAGTTCTATTCCTCTGGGATGCATAATAAGCTGCTTCTTTTCAAACTGAAAAATTGTAGTATGAGATGAGTAACGGGAGAGAAAAGGGGTCTAGACAGTCCCCATGTGTGCTTTGCATGAATGTTGGGTTGGTAGAGACTCAAAGGTACTACTATCCCGGGACTTAAGACAGGATCACCCTGTGAAGCGACCCTTCAACTGCCAAATTAAAGGAGCTGCTGGGAGCTGAGAACCAGCACTGAAAGATGGTAGTAAATTCCTTGCCTAACAGGTATTTATCAGAAGAGTGACCTGTAGGGCATTTCAAAGCCAGCAGAGAAGAGAGCAATATAGCTAGGGTTATAAAACTAGCTCAAGGAGTTAGAAAAGCAATCAGTACAGGAGAAAAACAAAGTTTGACTTTGGTCTTTAAGGTAGTGAAACAGAGGGGTTGGAGAATAGCTAGGTGTTTCTCAGAGCCAGGAATGGCTGTGGCAATGGGGATAGTGGGGATCGATGTTATTGAAAAGATTCCATCTTCTCAAGAATGAAGAGTGTTAACGTTCCACTAAGGGTTTTTGGACAACAAATTTTGCAATGGGAATCAGTAATCACTTCTGTTCTCTGCCTTATACTCTAACATTTCCAGAGTGTGTGCTCCCTCCCTCATTCCAGGTGGAGGAAGTCGAGGAAGGTGGGATGTGCCACATCCACAGCCCATAGTGGGGTCTGACCACTTCCTGCCTCCACTTACAGTATTCTTAGATAGCATGTCCTTCCATGGAGCTGCTGGAGTGATGGTGAGAGTCGCAACAGGTTGGCATGAAGACAAGAATCTTCATTTTTATAAAAATTATTGGGTTCTCCTCTCCTCCCAATATTAATTTTGACCAAATTAAAATTACAAAGATAAAAGCTAAAAAAATTGAATTACGTTAGGGAACAAGGAGAGGAATGCCTCTCTGTGATTCTAGGCAGCCGCTACCTAGAAAACCAGAATCAGGTAACATTTGCTTTGCTCCACCTTAGCGGCCTTTGGAGCTTCTGTAGGGGCAGGAATGTCACTCACAGCAGAGCTGTGTTCTGGAGCCAAAAGAACATTCACATTTATCCTAAGGTAATGCCTGCTATATACAATCTTTCGTGTGATTGTTTGATTAATATTTATCTCCCCCACTAGTCTTTAAGTTCCATGAGAATAGAAACTGTATTGCTTCCTCTCACCTGTGAAGGTGAGGTATCTGAATGAAAGATATCTGACATCAATTTAGAACTTATCTCCATATAGCAGTTTAATATACCTGTTTCTTTGGAACCTTCAAATCCTGTGAAATATGTCAAGTGTATAGTGTAAGCAAATGAGTAAAGCAACCCAGTTATTTCACTGTCACGGAGACTAGACTGGGAAAGTATGGCAACTATATTCCTATTTTCCAAATGGAGACAATTAGGGAGGTATTATTATTCCCATTTTGCAGATGAAGAAGCTGAGACCCAGAGAGGTAGTTATTTATCTAAATCATAGGGTGAGTTAGTAGCAATTGGCTTAAAACCTAAATCTTTTGCCACAGAATCAAGCTTTTACCTGAAAGTAATCAGTTTTACATGCTCCACTCTATAAATACTGACAGTGGTTCACAGAAGATGCTTACCAAAGAACTGGAACACAGATCTGATTCCTTCCTTTTATTGCAATACCACCTCCAATGGTGATTTACAAAACATTCATGTCCATTACCTCACTTGATTTTCATAACTAGTTTCTTAGGTGCATAGGTCAGGTACTATTATTCTTGTTTACTTTTGTGGGAAGATTGAGGTTCAGAGAAGTGTGGAGACTTGATCTAAGTCATATACTGCATAGTTAGCAAAGCCTGGACAAGAGACGAAGGCCTTGGACTCTTGACCTAGAATTTCCTCTACTACCCTACGTTGCCTCTCCTCTAGAAATTGCATAACATACTTTAGCTACAGGGCTTTTAAATGTGGACACTGTCCAAAGGAGACTTTTCTGGAGTGTCTTTGAAAAAAGAGAACTGGGAAAGGGCTTCCTCCTTGACTCTGAACCTTTCTTGATGAAAGATTGGAAGAAAGTTGATTATGGTGGGATTTTTTTCTTTATTATTTTACTCTTAGACTCTTGTCCAAAAAACAATTCGGGAGTGAGACGCCCACCCATCTGGTAGGGCCAAGGTATTGGAGGTCAGGGTTTCAACCTTCCCTTTCACCCACCCCAATTAATAAAATAAGCATCTTATCACACAGATCTTCTTTAGTGAAAAATGGGTTTTTGGATGCCTGGATTATGAGGCCAAGCTTGGCTTGTTCTGTCAAAGTAAAGCCAAGCAAACCACTCCAGGAGCCAAGTTGTATCAGTGGACAAGTCTTCACTAGAAAAACTGCTGGAATTGAGAAAATCTACATTTGCCATGAGTAATCATTAATTTCTCCACCAGTGAGCCAATACTCATGTACCCCTATTAAAGGCTTTACTCACATCCAGGCATGTCCACACTGGAATGCTGTAGCCATCAAAGAATTTCCTAGGGCATGGAATGACAGACTTCCAATGCCCAACAGACCCTCAGATCCAAAAGGCTTTGGTCTTCCTTACTAACCCATGCTAGCCTTGGAATCTAGTCTGAGCGTCTCCTGAGGCTTAGAGGATCTGTTTATTTCCATGATATCCAGAGAAAGCTGACGTGAACCTTCTTTGTACTTCTCCCATAAAATGGCTGGGAGGATCTCAGGATTTTCAGGACTCAGGGAACAGCGTGGAAGCAGGGTCTAGTAGGTTGAGGCCAGGATTTGATCCTCAAGGCAGGCCTGGAAGCTCACCATGCCTCTCACTCTGTATACACTTCCTCATTAAGATTGTCCAAATAGCTACCTTGGGGTGAGAGCCAGTCGAGACTCCAACACATGCACTGTGGAGTTGCTGTCTCCTGCAGAGCACAGCCATGGAAAGAGCTGCAGGACTCTGCTGTCTTGGATTCTTTACTAAAAAGTGAAAAAGACACTAGACTTAAGAGTCAGATGAGCCGCCATTGAGTCCTTGCTTTGCCACTCACGTGTGACCTGAATTTTTCTGAGGTTCCCTTCCTTCATCCTCCGAATGGGAACTATTGTTCTTACGCTGCCTACCTCAGGGGGTTGCTGCGGGAATCAAAGAAGATCACATATGTGTGGAAGCACTTTATATTCTGTGAAATGCTGGCAAATGTAAGGAATTGCTAGGATTTATAGCAGTAGGAATAGAGATCATCCCTAGATGAATCCAAGGCTTGGCTCCAAAATAGCACTGTAGAGCCAGGACCATGAAGTATTCGCTGAGTCATTTCTCTGTTTGTCTCGGTATAATTTTTAGATGCTGTAGGTGGGCAGCCAACAGGTAATTGCATCTCAAAGACTATTTATTCAGCACGCAGTCTACATGCTTGCTTTGAAAGGTAATTGGGAAGCACTTGTTCACACATGGACTTTTAATGAAATAGTGGTAGTCAACCAACTACCACCCACCAGCCA